AAGATCAGTGAATCACACATTGACAAACATGTGAAAAATAAAGCGCGTTTTTAAAAAAAAGTACACATTGAAGCAAAAATATTTTTTCCCAAAATTTTCAACATTTTTATATCCTTAAATAAAACATATAATAAAAGCAAAAATCATATATGTATGTAAATGGGAGAAATAGAATGTCAAATATCATCATTCTTAAATAAGAATAATAAATATCCTATTCAATGCAAGACATAAATAAAACAATTTCAATAATGTTTAAATCAATTCTGAGGAATATAAAAGGGTCATGTTCACGAAATCTTCTTAAAAGCTGAAGGTATCACGATTTCCTAACAAATTTCTGTTAATATGTTTATTTGGGTATACGCATTTTCATTGGAAAAATTTCATTTCAAAAAAATATAAAATAGCGCGAATATAGAAGTCTCTAAGCAATGAAACTGAACTAGCATAAAGTACATACAATCGCTGTCATCTCACAAATTACAACTGTGGTTCATGCGGTTGCGCACTCACTTTTCGAAACATGGGGCACGCGGTTCAAACCCGGTTGGCGATTTTACCTAATTTTTTTATTTTTTTTATAAAAAGGGCTTTAAAAGGAAGGCTAATTTTTATTGGTGTGGGTATTTCTTTAAAAAATTTTAGAATTTTATTGCGATTTATGAATGCAAAGAGAAAATGTCATAAAAATATCTTCATTCGAAAAATTCTTTGACATTTTATTGCAAAGTATTGTAAAACTCATAATGTGTCAATAGTACACCACAAAAACAGGTACCAAAAACGTTCTGTGGATTTGAATGACTTCTGAAGATAAAATGATACAATTTTTACCTGTTTTACAGAAATTTTACAATATAAAGAAAATAAAAAATATCCGAAACTGATTTCGGATATAAACTATATATATATTCAGAAAAAAAAATCGAAAATTTTCAATATCCGAAATTGATTTCGGATATAAACTATATATACTCTGAAAGCCCATGGACTGACCTTTCCATCGTGGGTATTCGCTTAGTCCCAGGTTTTGAAATTTTCGGACAGTGGACCTAACAGTTGGACCATATCAGATACAAAAAAATTTACAATTTAAATAAAGTCAAACAATTTATTATATCCCAAATTGATTTCGGATACAAACTATATATTTTCTGAAAGCGCAAGGAGTGATCTTTCAATCGCGGGTATTCGCTTAGTCCCAGGTTTTGAAATTTTCGGACAGTGGGCCTAACAGTTGGACCATATCAGATATCAAAAAATTTACAATTTAAATAAAGTCAAACAATTTATTATATCCGAAATTGATTTCGGATACAAACTATATATTTTCTGAAAGCGCAAGGAGTGATCTTTCAATCGCGGGTATTCGCTTAGTCCCAGGTTTTGGAATTTCGGGACAGTGGGCCTAATAGTTGGACCATATCAATTACCAGACCTACGGTTAAATTGTACAATTTTGAAAAAAAATTGAAAAATTTATTATATCCGAAATTGATTTCGGATATAAGCTATATATATTCTGAAAGCCCATGGACTGACCTTTCCATCGTGGGTATTCGCTTAGTCCCAGGTTTTGAAATTTTCGGACAGTGGGCATAACAGTTGGACCATATCAGATATCAAAAAAATTACAATTTAAATAAAGTCAAACAATTTATTATATCCGAAATTGATTTCGGATACAAACTATATATTTTCTGAAAGCCCAAGGAGTGATCTTTCAATCGCGGGTATTCGCTTAGTCCCAGGTTTTGGAATTTTGGGACAGTGGGCCTAATAGTTGGACCATATCAATTACCAGACCTACGGTTAAATTGTACAATTTTAAAAAAAGTCGAAAAATTTATTATATCCGAAATTGATTTCGGATATAATCTATATATATTCTGAAAGCCCATGGACTGACCTTTCCATCGTGGGTATTCGCTTAGTCCCAGGTTTTGGAATTTCGGGACAGTGGGCCTAACAGTTGGACCGTATCAGATATCAAAAAAATTACAATTTAAATAAAGTCAAACAATTTATTATATCCGAAATTGATTTCGGATACAAACTATATATTTTCTGAAAGCCCAAGGAGTGATCTTTCAATCGCGGGTATTCGCTTAGTCCCAGGTTTTGGAATTTTGGGACAGTGGGCCTAATAGTTGGACCATATCAATTACCAGACCTACGGTTAAATTGTACAATTTTAAAAAAAGTCGAAAAATTTATTATATCCGAAATTGATTTCGGATATAATCTATATATATTCTGAAAGCCCATGGACTGACCTTTCCATCGTATATCGCTTAGTCCCAGGTTTTGGAATTTCGGGACAGTGGGCCTAACAGTTGGACCGTATCAGATATCAAAAAAATTACAATTTAAATAAAGTCAAACAATTTATTATATCCGAAATTGATTTCGGATACAAACTATATATTTTCTGAAAGCCCAAGGAGTGATCTTTCAATCGCGGGTATTCGCTTAGTCCCAGGTTTTGGAATTTTGGGACAGTGGGCCTAATAGTTGGACCATATCAATTACCAGACCTACGGTTAAATTGTACAATTTTAAAAAAAGTCGAAAAATTTATTATATCCGAAATTGATTTCGGATATAATCTATATATATTCTGAAAGCCCATGGACTGACCTTTCCATCGTGGGTATTCGCTTAGTCCCAGGTTTTGGAATTTCGGGACAGTGGGCCTAACAGTTGGACCGTATCAGATATCAAAAAAATTACAATTTAAATAAAGTCAAACAATTTATTATATCCGAAATTGATTTCGGATACAAACTATATATTTTCTGAAAGCCCAAGGAGTGATCTTTCAATCGCGGGTATTCGCTTAGTCCCAGGTTTTGGAATTTTGGGACAGTGGGCCTAATAGTTGGACCATATCAATTACCAGACCTACGGTTAAATTGTACAATTTTAAAAAAAGTCGAAAAATTTATTATATCCGAAATTGATTTCGGATATAATCTATATATATTCTGAAAGCCCATGGACTGACCTTTCCATCGTGGGTATTCGCTTAGTCCCAGGTTTTGGAATTTCGGGACAGTGGGCCTAACAGTTGGACCGTATCAGATATCAAAAAAATTACAATTTAAATAAAGTCAAACAATTTATTATATCCGAAATTGATTTCGGATACAAACTATATATTTTCTGAAAGCCCAAGGAGTGATCTTTCAATCGCGGGTATTCGCTTAGTCCCAGGTTTTGGAATTTTGGGACAGTGGGCCTAATAGTTGGACCATATCAATTACCAGACCTACGGTTAAATTGTACAATTTTAAAAAAAGTCGAAAAATTTATTATATCCGAAATTGATTTCGGATATAATCTATATATATTCTGAAAGCCCATGGACTGACCTTTCCATCGTGGGTATTCGCTTAGTCCCAGGTTTTGGAATTTCGGGACAGTGGGCCTAACAGTTGGACCGTATCAGATATCAAAAAAATTACAATTTAAATAAAGTCAAACAATTTATTATATCCGAAATTGATTTCGGATACAAACTATATATTTTCTGAAAGCCCAAGGAGTGATCTTTCAATCGCGGGTATTCGCTTAGTCCCAGGTTTTGGAATTTTGGGACAGTGGGCCTAATAGTTGGACCATATCAATTACCAGACCTACGGTTAAATTGTACAATTTTAAAAAAAGTCGAAAAATTTATTATATCCGAAATTGATTTCGGATATAATCTATATATATTCTGAAAGCCCATGGACTGACCTTTCCATCGTGGGTATTCGCTTAGTCCCAGGTTTTGGAATTTCGGGACAGTGGGCCTAACAGTTGGACCGTATCAGATTACCAGAAAAATTACAATTTAAATAAAGTCAAACAATTTATTATATCCGAAATTGATTTCGGATACAAACTATATATTTTCTGAAAGCCCAAGGAGTGATCTTTCAATCGCGGGTATTCGCTTAGTCCCAGGTTTTGGAATTTCGGGACAGTGGGCCTAATAGTTGCACCATATCAATTACCAGAGCTACGGTTAAATTGTACAATTTTAAAAAAGTCGAAAAATTTATTATATCCGAAATTGATTTCGGATATAAACTATATATATTCTGAAAGCCCATGGACTGACCTTTCCATCGTGGGTATTCGCTTAGTCCCAGGTTTTGAAATTTTCGGACAGTGGGCCTAATTGCAAATACCTACAGTGTTGCTGCATGTGCAGTAATTTTTATGTTTTATTGCATTGGGGTAGCACATTTGTTAATTTTGTCCTAATCCTACTTATTTTTATTAATTTTAAATAAAAATAATCGTAAAATCTATTAAATTTGATTATTTTTCAATTCTGTTAACCTTTTAAAAGAGCTCTGTTAATGGCTTAACAGAGCTCTGTTAATAACATTACAATTTAACTTTCAACAATTTATCTTCACGCTCATATGCCGTTGTCGGTTGTTTCTTCATGATGGCTGTATTCTCCGACGGTGGGGCCAAAGATATTTTCCCTTACGATTTTTGCATTAAAATCTCCTAGTAGAATTTTAATGTCATGGCCAGGGCAGCGTTGTTTCTAGGCGCTCATAAAATATGTCTTTGGTCTCCTCATCTCATCTAATAAGACAATAAGATTTTTTTTTAAATCTACACCTATTTATATGTCTTGAAAACATTTTTCATAAAATCACACCTATTGATAGGCCTCAAAAATATCTTCTGTTAATAATCCTTTAAAATTTCTGATAATCCTTAAAAAAAATAGTTAATGAAATGTATTTAAACATGTTTCTATAATCCTCTCCTTTCCTCCCATTCTCTATATCACCCACGTCCCTGCCACTTGTTTTCCGTATGTTTAAATTTTTATTTCGTTTTTCTTTCCAGTTAAGTTTTTTTTCAAAAATTCTGTTCGTTGTTGTTGTTCCCTCCCGCATTTCTATATAACCGTTAGAATTTTTCCTATGAAAAGCATTTTTTCTAATATTTTGTTTTCTTTCGATTATTTTTTTTTGTCTTTACAGTACCCTCAGCACCACCTGACAACATACAAATTGGCATGTATAATCTAACAGCTGGCTGGGTTAGATGGTCATCCCCACCGCCACAGCATCACAATGGCAACTTGTTGGGCTATAAAATTGAGGTAAGTCACGATTTTATTTAGTTTGTTTTGCTTGCTGGCTGGTCCTTTTGGTGGATCCCTCAAGGGTAGGGGTTTGATGGAGCCTAGACAACACAAAAAGCAAACCGCCAGCATACATAATTAATAGTTTGCTAGGTGGTAGGCTGACATGCCAGGAGAAAGAAGGGAAACGTTGTTGAATGTATTTACAAGGCAAACAAAAATATTGCAAAACTTTCCTTTCCTTCTTTGCTATCAAAAAGGATACCATTTATGAATGTGTGTATGCACCTTTCTATGTGAATATTTTATATATTCATGATTGTCTGTTGTATACATACATAGTTACATTCATGATTGTTTTCCTTTCGTGTTTTTTTATTTATTTACATTATTTATTTGTGTGTTTTATTTATTTATTTATTTTTTGGTATATTTCCACAGGTAACTGCTGGCAATACCCTAAAAGTTTTGGCCAACATGACTTTAAATGCCACCACCACCTCGGTCCTGCTAAACAATTTGACAACTGGTGCCACATACAATGTACGCCTGAATTCCTTTACCAAGGCTGGTGAGGGCCCATATTCATTACCGGTAAGTAATTAAAGTTGTGGTCATTATTTGAATTCAATAACCTCTTCTAATTATTTTTTTGTGAACTCAGTTTGAACTCCTCTTGGAAAGTTCAAATCTTTCTCCCCTTTTATATTTTTTGTTTTGAAAAAAAGGGGGAAACATTTTTCATTTTGTTTTGTGTGCCTAATTAATAACATTTCCCTTTCTTTTGCATTCCGGTTTTTAGGTTTCATTATTCATGGATCCGGCCCACTTGGTGCATCCGCCACGTGCCCATCCCAGTGGCTCGCACAGCAGTGTAACTGGTCACACCGGTGGTGTTGGCAGTGAAGGTGGTCATTTTGCCTATCATCCCAATGGGGTGGCCGGTATGCCCGATGATGCGGCCACAACAACCACTCAGCGCAAATCGACAACTGTGGTCCATGAAACATGGTTTATGGCACTTGTTATAACAATGCTATTGGCCATATTAGTATCAGCTGCCGCTGCAATGTTATTCTTCAAGAGGCGCCATCAACTAACAAAGGAACTGGGACATTTAAGTGGTGAGTATTGTTTGGAGGGTGAAGTGGGGTGGCATTATTTGCATTATTATTATTGTTATAATTGTTTAATATATAAAAAACTGTAAAGAGAATTGAATTAAAAAGTATTTTTTGTTGTAGTTATAATTGGATGGTTCCACAAGAGCTTTCTGGGATGAACAAATCAGTTCGTTATAAAAAATTCAATTTTGTGGACTCTTTAAATTTTTTTTTTCAAAAAATTAAACTCAAAATCAATCCCGAACTAGAAAATAATTAATTTCTGACGACGGCCAGCAAAAACAAAGAACGATCGAAAAAAAACCCAAAATAGCTTTTGTATGAAAATCCTGCTAGACTTTTTGACACTCTAATGACTTCCTCTATGGCTTTCAATTTCCCAATGAAATGAAACGAAAGCCAAAATAGAAAAAAGGACACTCTAGGCTAAAGTCGAAATCAAAATCAAACATAAAATCCTTAATTAACTTGAACAACAAACGAGCACAGCTGCTACTGCTGCTGTTGCTGTCGGGGCAGTAGACAAAAAAGTGAAACTTACTAAATTACACACTTGCCAGATAAAAGACAAGAGCACAAATTGACAATATTGATTACTTAAGAAGTGGAGAAAAAATAACCAAATGAAACAAAAAACAATCCTTTTAAATATATACACACAAATAGATAGATAGCTAGATATGTATATATGTACTCTTCTCATCTATATTGACTTTTCAACTAATCTGTGAAACATTTTTTTTTTCTATTTTTTCCATTCCCTTTTTTCTGCCGTTTTTTCTGGAATTACCATTTATTTTTTTCCCTGGATCTGTGGTCATTTCTTCCATTTGGTTTTTTTTTTCGATTTTTAAACCTTAACAGTAGTCAGTGCCAATGAGATAACCGCCTTGAATATTAATGGCAAGGATAGTTTATGGATAGACCGTGGCTGGCGCACCACCGATACCGACAAAGATTCCGGCTTGAGCGAAACCAAATTGCTTTCGAATACAAATAGCCAATCGAATTACAATACATCAGATGGTGGCACAGATTATGCTGAAGTGGATACAAGGAATATGAGCACTTTTTACAATTGTCGCAAGGTAAGAAAAAATAAACCATACAAATGATATGTGTACAGATTTTCATTTATATTTCCATTTCATTTTCTAATGTTTTTTTCTCCCTCCACAGAGTCCTGAAAATCCCACACCCTATGCCACAACCATGATTATCGGTGCCTCATCAACGGAAACAACATGCATGAAAACTTCGGGTTCAAGTACAGATCAAGATTCGGGTACCCATTCACCCAATTCGGAGGGTATAAATCCTCATTGTGGTGGTCCGAATGGTCCAGCGGGAAAACACAACTATCATCAATATCCTCCAGGTATGTAATGTGTGAAAAAAAATAATTATTATTAAAATAATTATGAATGTATTCATCATCATCACACTGCCATTCAATCATATCATCATCCCATTCCCTTTCCATTTGTATGTGGCAATTTCAGTATATTTTTCAAAATTGCTGGAAATTAGTCTTCTATATTAAAGTACTTTGATTTTGGCTTATAAGAAATGCCTAAAACTAAAAAAAAAAATACCTTAAATATTGCTTAAAAATTCCACGCAAGACACGCCTTCTCTGTTTCAAAAAATCTCTCTTTTTTTTTTTTTTTTTTTTGTTTAACATGTACCTATAACTTCTCAAGAATGTCCCATTAAAATTTCAAGTATAAATCAAAAAATACAAAAAAGAATTGAAATTATTATTAAATTCTCCATTTCTCCAATACTCCATTTCAGTATTATAAAATGTCCTAATAGTCCTTTTTTTCTTTTAATCAATCAAGGCCTAATGAGTCAGTAAGTTTATTTCCCATTAATGGCTAAAAATCACGCCTTATAAAATCTTGCGAAAATCTTTTTTAATATTCCTTAAAATGTCTCTTTTGTCCTCTTCAAATCGAAAAAAAAATATTCCTCCTAAAAGTCTTAAAAAATCAATGCGTACATGAATCCGTAGGTCAATTTGTTCTTTAAAAATGCACGCCTCTTTGAATCCTGAAGTTAACCTCGTCTCCAAAAGAATTTGTTCTATAAAAAGCCACGCCTCTTCGAATCTTTAAGTGAACCTCGTCTCCAAAAGAATTTGTTCTATAAAAAGCCACGCCTCTTCGAATCCTTAAGTGAACCTCGTCTCCAAAGGAATTTATTTTAAAAAAAACACGCCTCCAAAAGAATTTGTTCTTTAAAAAGCCACGCCTCTTCGAATCCTTAAGTGAACCTTGTCTCCAAAGGAATTTATTTAAAAAAAACACGCCTCTAAAAGAATTTGTTCTTTAAAAAGCCACACCTCTTCGAATCCTTATGTGAACTTCGTCTCCAAAAGAATTTATTAAAAAAAAACACGCCTCCAAAAGAATTTGTTCCTTAAAAAGTCCTTAAGTCAACCTCGTCTCCAAAAGAATTTATTTTTTATAAAACCACGCCTCCAAAAGATGTTTTTTTAAATACACGCATCCACGAATCCTTATGTGAACCTCGTCTCCAAAAGAATTTATTTTTTTAAATACACGCCTCCACGAATCCTTATGTGAACCTCGTCTCCAAAAGAATTTATTCTTTAAAAATCCACGCCTCCACGAATCCATATGTGAACCTCGTATCCAAAAAAAAATTATTCTTTAAAAATCCACGCCTCCACGAATGCTTAAATGAGCCTCGTCTCCAAAAGAATTTATTCGTTAAAAATCCTTTAAAATTCCTTAAAGCAATATTCATAACAAAATTAAAAAATATTTCTTTAAAAAATCTGCACATTTAGGTCCTTAAAAATATTCCTTTAAAAAATCTACACCTTTAGGTCCTTAATAAAAAATATTCCTTTAAAAAATCCACGCCTTTAGGTCCTTAATAAAAAATATTCCTGTAAAAAAATGCATGCCTCAAGGTCCTTAATAAAATAATTCTTTAAAATATCTACACCATTAGGCCTTTAAAAAATATGCCATTAAAAATCTACGGCTTTAGCTTCTTAAAAAAATATTCCTTTAAAAAATCTACGCATTTAGTTTCTTAAAAAAATATTCCTTTAAAATATCTGCACCTTTAGCATCTTGAAAAAGATAATCCCCTTATCTTAAAACCAATCTTAAAACCAAAGGGTTCCTCCTAAATTCTTTGTAAATTAATTTTCAAGAAATGCATGATTTAAGTTCGCATAGTTCGAAGAATAAAAGAACTGCGCTCATGCATAGATCACATGGACCTTCAAGGGCGTTCTTAGAAATATTCCGGCTGTTATTTCTTTAAATAATTCCCTTTGATCTCATCCGCAAAGTTGTAATTTTCTCTTCAATACTTACGATTTCAATCCCATAAGAAGACCAATTATTATCTCATAAAAAATCAAATAACCACATATCTCCATACAGTTCTCACTTTTAGTCGCTCAAGTCAAGTCTTTATCCTTATGATAACTGTTGAGTTTATTTCAATTTCGATGCTATTATTTAGTTGTTATTATTTTTTTCTTCATCCGTTTGATTTTTCCTTTAAACCCATTTCCGCTTATAAACTTTTTTTCGTATTAAAAAAATATCCTTTATTTGTTAACTCGATTTGTTAAGCTTTAAAGGATTTCTTTCATTCCCGTCCGAGAGAGAATGAGAAAGATGAGTTTTTTTGCAACCTTTAATTTTTTTTCAATTTATCCACGAAATCCTTTTGTTTTTACTCCCCCAATCTCAAAACCAAATTGATTGCTATTGACAGTTGGCTTAAGTTGTGTAGGTGGTAGTTTCATCTTTGTCTGCTGTGTGTGTGTGGGGCGAGTTTTTCCTTGAGTTATTTCTTGCAATTTTCTTTTGATTATTTTTGTGTGCGTTTTTTTTATAAAAAGCGAAACTTTTTTGTACTCTCTCCAGAGATTTTGTTTGTTGCTTTTTTCACTTACAGTCCAGTTACCTTAGGCCATTTGCTAAATGCTGATGAGGGTAACAGAAACATGAAATTGAAATCAGGATAGGGGGTTGGTATGCATAAATTGTTTTTTTTCACATGAATTTATTCGCCATGCGGTATTTAAAGTATTTGCTCTACGAATTAAGCTCACAATGACTGCGGGGCAGACAATTTTATTAAAAAGCAGTGTAAATATGTAGAGGGATTTGTTGGTAGGATAAAGAGGATTTTTTAATAATAAAGAAATTGAAATTGTTTATGATTTTTAACACAAAAATTACTGAAATATTTTAAAGATATCCTTAATTGCCCCTTGAAGCCTAAAAGTATGCTTTATTTTGTTGGCAATAGAATTTAATACATTTCTCATAGTGAAATTTGTTATAGTTAATATCTTGTTGAACGGCCCGTCCCCCATCATCCTTTATCACTAAATAATTCAACATTGCAATTATTTGCTATTATCTAGGCCTATGGCATAATCCTCCCCCTTGATCTTTTCATGGCAACGCAACAATTTGTGTTGCCTTGGGCCATTGAACGACGAACCATCAACGCCATCATTCCCCTATATGCAGAAAAAGTGATTTACCCATAAAAACAATTAAGCTGATTGGAAAAATATATTTGACATTATATCCCCCAATAAATCCCTACCACCCCACATCATCTCTACCCAATTCTCATATCATTCCCATATCATGTTCATTTCATTGTTTCCGTTTTTTTGACATTATGTCCTTAAGGCAAATTTCGTTTATATCCTGGCATCACATTACAAAGCTAAAAGAAATTTTGTTGTTAAATGATTTGTGTTAATATTTATTTATTTGTTTTCTTTTTTCTTATTTTTTCTCTTTCCATTTTCTTTCCATATTATTATCCTGCCTAATCCTGATGATGCCACCAAAACAATATCCTCCTCCTATAAATGTTGAATGTTTTGATGTTGTATATTGTATCTGTGTGTGCTTGTATGTTAAATTCCACCAATACTAATAGAACAAATTAATTGGTCAGAATTTTTGCCACCACCACCGGAACATCCTCCACCAGTACCCTCATCGTGTGGCTATGCCCCTGGCTCACCTCAGTCATCAAGAAAGAGTTCCAAGAGCGGTGGTTCGGGGATTTCGACGCATCAAAGGTAAGGCACTAAAACAAGAAAATACAAAAAACAACAAAATTTAAAAAAAAAATAATAAAATTTTTTAATTAATTAAAAAAAACAACAAATCTAAAAAAATATATTCCTAATTCTTTCTCATTTTTGTTTTGTTTTCCTATCTTTAGCGCCTTGAATTCATCCATACACAGCAGTTCATCGGGTGGTTTCTCCACCTGGGGTATGGCGCCACAGTGTGCCGCATCGGCCGGTGCCCGACCACCCCAGGAGAATTACTATAATAATCCCTTGCCATGTGTCGGCAATACACAAAATCGTTATCAAATAACACCAACGGGTCAGCATCCTCCGCCATTACCTCCATATTTTCCGCCCGGAGCTGGTGGGACGGCACAGCTACCACCCCGTAATATACATATCCATTATCCGGCACCCCGGCATGCAATGAGTGAATATCAACCGACCGGTACTCACAATTCAAGATGTTCGAATGGAAGGTAAGTCGTTAAAGAGGAAAATGGAATGGAGTTATTTTCTGAATATTTTGGAGGTTCAATAAAGAAAATTGGTTTCCATTTAGGAGCCTTTGTTGAGGTCTTCAATGAGAAAAAGCGGTTGAAGTTATAGGAAATGTGAATGGAAGTTATTATTGAGATCTCATAAAAAATTAGAACTTCGGATTTAGATTTTCCTGTATATTCTACCAAAGACATTTTGAGGTCTTTCAGAAGAAGAGCTTCTAAAAAGCTTTGAAAATAAACCAATAATTCTGGATACTTTCTGATAATAGATTGGTTTTTATGTAGAAGGTAGCTTCTGGATTTAAGAGTTCCTATATATTTTATAGACAGAAGAAATTTTAAAGCCTACCAAAAGAAGAGGAGCTTCTGAAATGCTTTTGAAAACAAACAGAATTTTTAAAAGAATACAGAAGGTCTACAAATTGAAAATTCTTTAAATAGAAGATCTCCTATAGGTTTTTTATTTTCTGTATACCTTCCAATAAAAGACCTTCCACATTTATAAATAATATCTACTGTAGCCCTTCCTTAGAAGATGTTTAAATATATTTCTCTATTTCTTTTGGGAAACGCGTAAATACCAGATACCTTCCAAATTGGTTCTTTATAGATACAATACCTTATAGAGGTCACAATTATGGGACCTTCTTGAATACGTCTTTCAAAATTATTTCTCTGATGGATTCTCCGGAGCAACGCTTAAATCCCAGACATCTTCTAAATTGGTTATTCTATAGATACAATACCTTCTAGAAGTCTTCGGCAGTTATGGGACCTTCTTGAAAACTCGTTCTTTCATAGGTCTTCCTTAAATAATCTCCATTACAATCTAATCTGTGCTTTGGAACCTGCATAGAGATTCATTAACACAGTGAACCGTGTCCATTTTAATTCAGGAGGAGACTGTTAGAGACAGAATGTCAAACATCATGGATCCTCCATACAAAATATATTTCGCTACCTCTCCTGGGGAACGCTTAAATCAAATTCGTTCTTCTATGGATACAATACCTTCTAAAGGTCTTCGACAATTATGGGACCTTCTTGAATACCTCTTTCAAAGGTCTTCCTTTAAAAATCTCCATTCCAATCCAATTTTTCTTTCGAGCCTTATTAGAGACATTCGAAATAAATTATCCTACAGATCTAATTCCTTCTGGAGGTCTTCGACAAATGTGGGACCTTTCTGAGTACTTCTTCCAAATGCCATCCTTAAATAATGTCCACTCAAATCCAATTTGTCTTCGGAATCTCTTTAGATAATCTTTAACGCAGTGAACCGAGTTCATTTAAAAAAATCAATTCAAAATGCTATGAATAGACGGACACAATTAGAGATTTGACAGAATGCCAATCAGCTGATGGATCCTCCTTACAAAATAGGGATACGAAAGTCGATTATCAATTCAGTGTTCTATGATCCTTTCATTTCCACATTGACTGATTATTTGCTTACCACTCCCTGTGTATTCTTTGTAAATACTGTACAAACACTGCCTGAAATATTACTGAAATAGAGTACATTGAAATTCATAGACATCAGCTTTCACATAGTTCATAAATAGTTAAAATGTGTTGCCTGCTTTTAGGCGACCAATAACATTTGATATGTTTATAAAAAGATATATGGAGTTCGTCTTCGGATGTCTCACGAGAAGGACGAAATTTAAAAGTATAGTACTCGATTTTTTAAAGATTTTGTCTTTGTCCTATATATGGTCCTAAATCTTCTATACTAAATAGGTAGTAGGTTAGTTGGAGGAGTAAAGACGAAAAAAATATATATATGGAATCAAAATCCATTTCAATAAATTTTGATAGACTGTTTTTTACCATTACTGGCTATCCAGCAACTACGAATATTTTCAAGGATGTCCTCATGCTTTATGTATATATAGACAAATATATTTATATATTCAAATATATATTTTAATAAGTTCTACAATTAGTTTTTTAATCTTTCCCCTCTATGTTTTTTTCTCTTCCAGAGCCTGTACCAGCTGTGATGCATTAGCTTCACCCCTACAACCGCTACCACCACCCGGTGATGGTTGGTATCAGCCACTGCATACATCCCATATGCCACCAAATTCCTCTGCCCATCAAATCTATCAATGTTCCTCTGAATGTTCAGATCATTCACGTACCTCCCATACAAATGTCCCACAACACAACACCCATCATCATTCGCATGGTCATAGCCATGGTGGTCATCAGTCGCATGGACACAGTCATCATGGTCAAACTACGCCCAATGGTCAGGATACAATGCGTTCCGAAAGTAGCACGGAAAATGGTGGTAAATCGTCAAGTGTACATAGATGCCATAACAATAAGTCACGATTCCCTGAAATTATGGAAAATGAACATCAATTAGCCAATAGTTCGGCGGGTTCATGTACCTATGAGGTATTGGGTGAACCAATGCGTAATTGTAGTGAATGTTGTAGTAGTTCACGGGAAGGTGATACATGCTCCTGCAGTGAAGGTTCCTGTTTATATGCTGAGGCGGGTGAACCAGGTATGCCACCAAATAGTGGTGGAGGTGGACCACCACCACAACCGCCAGCAATGCCTGGTAAACATATGACACAAAACAATTGATATGCCGCCTGTATGTCAGCCATGACTGCAGCATCGACGACCACCACCACCTTGGACAATGGTGGTGGTTTGGTAACTGATGTTGTCATATATTTTTAGTGGCCCTTAAGGTTTTAGTAAAAGAAAAAAAAAAAAACACGAAAATTTTGTAAAAACAGCAAATGTAACGAATGAAAATAACTAAAACAGGAACTGTGTAAGTGTAAATTTCAAACAAAAGAAAAAAACGTCTAGTTTGTTAAGCTTAGATATTTCATATGGAATATGCACATATTACGATAATAATAACCCTACTACTTATATAAATAGTTTATTTCAGTGAAAAAACATTAGCAATTCCCAAACATAATCATTTGTAAATTTGAAAAGCATTGAGATTTTTTCGTAGCCATCGAATAGTAAATTATTTTAGTAAGATAAGTAACGACAAAAAACTAGACACTAACACATACAATTCACGCAAAAAAAATTCAACGAAATTATTAGGGACTGTTCACTAAATTATTCATAATTATTCGACTTTTTTCTAACACAAAACCACTCCAACCACCATTAAAAGTATTCAAACAAAATTAAGGCATTTATGAAATTAACTAGTATTTTTGTTTGTTTTCTTTATTTTTGGCAGTCGTACACAATGTGTAAATGGCGTGTTTATGTTGAATTTTTCATCTTCCATGAGAGCCAAAAAGAAAACAAAAAGTAAAATGCAACATCGTTTTTTTCTCTTTACAATTCCATTTTTCTACCAAGCCTTGAGTTTTTTGAAGTACATTTTCTCTTTTTTGGTTGTTGTTTCCCCCCTTTTTCTGTTTTTATTCAAGGTTCACTGCATTGTGTGTCGTGGTCTTTTGAAAAATTGCGACATTTTACCTAGGCTCCTTGCAACAATTGCATTTGAAATTATTAAATAATTTACCTGTTGTGGCGGTTGCATACAATTTTTGTAAGCCCATTTTTTTGCCATTTGATGGAAGTCTGAGTGTTTTTTGTCACGATTCTCTTTCCTTTTAGCTGGGAAGGTTTTCCTTTTCAAAGGGGACTATTTTTTGGGGATGGGGTGGGGTTTGTGGTAATATTGTTTGTTTTAGAATGCCAACGGTTAATAGTTTTAATTTATGTTTGCATTTAACTATAATTCTATAATAAAATGTAAACGAATGGTGTATAAGCAACATGCATTACAGTTTTGAAAATCTAAAGTCCAATAACTATACAACTTTTGGGGCATTTGGGCTTTTTTTAATATATCTTTCAAAAAGATACTCAAATAAAACGACAGAGTTTATAAAGGAATATAATACGTTTGATTGTGGGTTTAAAATAATAACGATATAAATTTTGAATTTAGTTTTTTTAAAGACCCTTACCTTCCCAGTACGAAATACTTAGGAATATTTTTGAGAAATATTTGAACTTCATCTGTAAAGGAGAAATGTTAAATAACTCAGAATTGTACTAAGGTCTATGACTTTCCTATAGTTGAAGAAGATAAGAAAATATTTTCTACATATCCCTCCAAAGAAGGTATTTAGATGGTATTTCATAAGCTGAGAGCATCTGGATTTAGGAGTTCCTATATACTACATAGACAGACAACGTTTTGAAGCCTACAAAAGGAAGAAGAGCCTCTGAAATACTTTTGAAAACAGACCTAGAAATTTTTAAAATGTAAGAACTTAAGAGTGTCTTGGGATTTTTTTTTTCAGAATACAAATCGTTTAGAATATGCACATATTTTTCAATTCAATTTCAATTTATTACATAAACGAGAATCTAGCCCAAAGGGACTAGAGCGATTCAAAAAACAACAAACAAACAACAACAGTAATCTACAACTCGTGTACTTATTTAAGGTTTGTGGGTTCTTGAATTGACCCTGGCAACGGTTGAGCTTACTTCAGCCCTAGATAAAACCACCATTTATAACGAGCGGTTTTATCTAGGGCTGAGGTAAGCTCAACCGTTACCAGGGGCAATTCTAGGACCCACAAATAGTTTTATAAATTTTTGAAGGGAGAATAACAACATATATGATAATATTTCAAAGGGATGCGATTGAAATGTCCTTCCCTTTCAATGGCATAATTTTTAGATAGAACATATTTTTCTACAAGCCTTCTCTCCGCTTTTATAGATATTTCTAAATTGAATTGCAAAATTGTATTGTCTGTATTGTCATATCTTTATATTTCTAATCCCACTTTCTCCTCTTTTTTTCAAGCTTTCCTTATTTAATATTTGCCTTATATGTTAATATATTCTGTGAAAAGAAGGAAAATATCTTCTAATTTGGAATTTGATATAAGAACTATTATTTCTTAATAATGTTTCCTCTAGATCTTCCACCAACATACATTCTTAAATCCTTTCTGCCTATCATATTAGAAAGTCCCACTTGGTAATTGCAAATGCTATGTAGCATACTTTTAGGAAAATAGAAATAAAATATCTTCTAATTGGAATTTAATAGAAGAAATATTATTTTTTAATAATTTTTCCTCTAGATCTTCCTCAAATATATATTCTTAAATCCTTTCTGCCTATCATATTAGAAAGTTCCACTTGGTAATTGTAAATGCTATGTAGCATACTTTTAGGATCACATATTTTGCTGGACAATAAAAATTGTCAATCACTTTGGATACTAATTTTTTTTATTCCAGTTATTGCATGGAGCTCAGACCCATTCATTTTTCTGTAAAAAATATTGATTAATTTACAGGCAGACCATTTTGACCTGCCTGACAATTTTGTTAATCTTCCTTACTTAGCTGGCTTGTGACAGAACTTTCGTTCCATAAGCCGAGCTCAGAAAAGATTTCCAGGAGCGTCGGTCTTTTGCGCAGATTTTCCAATTTGATAGACCATTTTCGAAAAAGTATGAGTCATAATGTATGAATTTGTTCCACGTGTAACGCCTGTAGACCTATTCCCTGATATTTTTATGGATAGCTAGGACACTTGTTTTTCATTCATTTCTATCAAAAAATTTTGCCTTTTCGCAAAATTTTGTTTGAATGATTTTATAGCCTAGACAGACGACTGCCTTAATTTAAATTAACAGCCTTAATTCAAATTAACTTGTACATTATCCTCATTTTTAATGCACAAAATCAAACTGAATTTATACTGAATTAACCAATTTCAATATGGCAATGCTGTCGAAAATCAATTAATTGTTGTCAAATTTGTTTACGTTTACAAAAATAAAAATTATAAATATAGGCAAATTTCAACATTCTTTCAAATTGGGAGCTGTTTTGCAACATCCTAGCTGCTATTCTTCCTCTATGCCATGTATATATTCTTAAAGATCCAATCCCGAAAAATATTGGAAACGAATGCCAACATCTCCAACATCTACATACAGACAAACAATTGTTTTGAATCAAAAAAATTGTTTTGTAAATGCAGAAACTCTCGTCTGTCAGGGGTAAATATTAATTCAAATTAAGAATTTTTTAATGCAAATTAAGACTGTCGTCTGTCTATGGTATTAGAAGTGGTTTTTGTGTGTGTTAACAATTTCTAAATTCTTCTCTCTCAAACGACAAACTGTTGCATCTAACTGTGCCATAATGTAATAATGAATGTCATATGAAAAAAAAAAAAAAACAACAACAAACCAGGACTTCTACAAATAGTATACAACAACAAAACATACTGCCATGAAACGAATAAAGAAGAAGAAATGAACACATTAGTAAAAGCAAAAAACAACTGACTAAAATTATTAAAGAAATTACATATTGTAAATTTATAGGAAAACAAAAGAAAACTCCTCCCCATAACCAGGTGAACAAGAAAAACAAAACTGAACTGTGTTTTAAAAAAAAAATTGAAATTAATACAACATGTATTTACTAAACTAATTACAATAACAAAAGCAAACAAAAACAAAAACAAGATACTGTAAAATTACCTTTCCAAAAAAAAAAAGAAAAACACAAAGAAGAATAGGAGTAAATATATCTCTATGAAAACTTCATTATATTAAAAAATAATAGTTTTGGAAACATTTTCTCAAACTGAAAAAGAAGGAAGTAACATGATTTTCTCTTGTGTACTAAAAACAATAAAAAATTATTCATGAAAAGGAAAACAATAAACTGCCCACACACTCTTCCCCCTCAACATGGCCGTAATCCAGAAACTGTAACAAAAATACGTAAAATATGAAATGCATTAATTTTCATTACCTTCTATTACAAAAAAACAGAGGTATGGAAACATCAACAAGAACAAAATACAATATTTTTTCGACCAGCAATTAAAAAGTAATTATTATTTTTGCTTTAGCAAATATTTTGAAAACTTTTTTTTTAAATACAAATAATTATCAGAACAAAAAAAAACGTATATATAAACAAATACTGAAAATCAGCAACAAAATATGGTTAGTGGCTCTTTAAAAAAATAAAACAAAACAAACAAGTGAAATAATAATAATTTTAGTATATAAAAAAATAATATTAAAAAAAACGAACTTCAACTACTTATTAACAAAATGAAATTTAAGTTACAAGGAAAAGAGGTAGGGTGCAAATGAGAGTGGAATACAATTTGGAAACAGTGGTATTATGAATTTCAATTGAAAAAATATATTTCAAAATAAGATTTGGAGTCGATTTGTTTCAATGGAACTTATTATTCTCGTGTATGAATGTGTAATGCTTTCGCTCGCCTAAAAGTATGCTACAGAAAATATAAAAGCAAGCAATTCCTTTAATATTTCAATTTATTCCATTTCATTTTCCCTCGGTGGGACTAGGAAAAAATATTCGTTTATTATCCGAAATTGCTAGACCATTTTGTTAATAAAAAAAAAAAACAATTTCGAATTATGAAATTTCTAATGGTCTTAACATTAGCTTTTGACTAGAATGACCTCTTCTCTAGAAGTTTCATTTATTTTCATGTAACCTCAAACGATTAAAAAAAATAAAAATTCAAAGGTCACCTATAAAAATTACGAATTTTTCTTTAACATTTGAAAAAAAAATATTTTCCGAACAAGATTGATTCGCTAGAACCGACTTGAGAAAATGATTTCATTTAAAGCTTAGGGTTTTCAAATTACTAATTCTTTGAAACTCGTTTTCCTTTTCAATTTCTGTCACCATAA